GAGCTGCTTAGTGCTTTGCTTTTGCTGAGGCTGGCTTTGATTCTCTTGCCCCAGCCTCCCAAGCTGCTGGGATTACAGGTGTGCGCCACCACACCTGGCCCTATGTATTCTTTATTGATAAATTAACTCTGTAAAAATCAGTGATATACATTTATGATTCATACATATGATATATTTTACTTAACTGGGTATAGAATTCTAGGCTACTAAGAATTTTAAAAACTTTCTCCATTGGTTTTTACTAATAAATGTTGATGTGCAGATATCTCATTTTTTCACTTCATCTCTGGAAGTTTTTTGTCTTCTTATCCTTAGCAGTCTAAAATTTTTAGTAACTGATGTTCTGGTGAGGGCCTTTTTTCATTCATTATGCTGGGCACTTAAGTGTCCTTCAGCTCTGGGAAATTTTATTATTTATCTCCTCTCCTGTCTTGTGTATTTTTTTTTTCCTGAAAATTTTATAGTTGAATGTTAGGCATTCTACAATGTACTTCTAATTCTTTTCCTTTACATTTTATTTTATTCTTTTCTCTTATTCCTTTTATTTTAATTTTGGCAATTACACTTACTTTTATTTTTTGGTACCAAGAATTGTACCTAGGCGTACTTTCCCACTGAGCCACATCCCCAACCTTTTTTATATTTTGAGACAGGGTCTTGCTAAGTTGCTTAGGGCCTTGCTAAATTGATGAGGCTGGTCTCAAATTTGCGATCATTCTGCCTCAGCTTCCTGAGTCACTGGGATTACAGGCGTCTGACACCATGCCCAGTTACATTTTCCTTTTTAAAGTACTCCATTCTCTCATCATCTCTATTTTATAGCATCTTTTCTGTCTTTATCCATATTATCTTTTTTCTCTCTGAAGAGCGCATCTAGAAGACATGAGGGAGTGTGGGGACATTTTCTTAGTTGTACTACCTCAATTTCCCTTTTTTGGTTGTTGTTGTTTTGGTTGCTGTTATTTTGTTTCTTTTTGGATACTGTTGGAGGCTTCACTTTCTGATAATTAGATATACTGCTAAGTTTTAGTAGCAGATCCCCAAAAGATCTTTTCTCTGGGGTTGTTCAATTTCCCCAGAAAACAACCTGATTTTCTGCTTCTGCACTTAGTTGAGGGAATAACAGTGGGGTGGAGAATGGGATGTGGGAGATTGACCACTCTGTATAGACTTCCAATTAATCTTCATTTTCTTCCCTTTATCTTACTTATGCCTTCCATATAATCTGCTAACTCTGAATCCAGACTTCCCTATTTACTGTCCTCAGAGAGAAATCTCACTTACAAGGGAAATACAGTCCAGCATTACAGGATTGCAGATTTAAAAAAAAAAAAAAAAGTATACTGATTGTTGAGCTGGAGATATAACTCAGTGGTAGAGTGCTTGCCTAGCACATGCAAAGACCGGGTTGGATCCCCTGAACCACAGTAAAAAAAAAAAAAAAAAAAATTAAAGTATATTGACTGTCATCCAATTTTCCAATTTCGAATCCCATATACTCAAACTTTGAAGCCCTCTAGAGTTCTTTAAGGTATATAGACTCCTTTCTTGTCTGTCCTCTGCAAGCATGCTGGTAGAAGGTCCCTTTGTGTTGCTAAATCAGTTATCACTCTTCTACCAGATTCAAAGGCTGCTGAATGTTCTCATACACTGATGTCCTTTCTCATTAGGTTTATAATTATTTTGCCATTATTGTGAGAAGAGATATGTTTTGGTAACCATAAGTCTTTGACAGAACTTGTCTGTTTCCCCATCTTGACTATAAGCAATTTGAGCAAAAAAACTGTCTTTCACTTTAGTGTTCTGTTTACTATAATGTAGGAATATAGTAGATGTTTTTGAAATGTTTCCTGAACAAAAACAAATGAAGAGTTATAAATATTCATAAAAGCATTACAAAAATCTAAATCAAAGAGGGAGAATTTTAGCCTTGTGGCACTTTTTTCTTTCTTTCCTTTCTTCCTTTTTTTTTTTTTTTTGTGTGTGTTGTGGTGCTGATTGAACCGAGGGCCTTGTGCATACAAGGCAAGCACTCTACCAACTGAGCTATATCCCCAAACCATAGCACCTTTTTTCTATTTATCAAAGAAACTAAGACGAACAAAAGTAATTTTAACTTACTGAAAAGGTATTTGGAAAAAAATGAAAAACCAAGATTGGAGACATAATGCCAAATAGCAAGTAACTATAGTCATGGACCCCTTAACAACAAGGATGAGAAACGTATCTTTTGGCAATTTGTATTTGTGCAAACATCATAGAAAGTACACATATAAATTAAGATGGTCACAATGTAGATGATATAATTTTACAGGGTTACAGTTGTATAATATGTGGTCCATTTGAACAAAACAATGTCATTTTATGGTACATGACTGTACTTTGGCTGCAATGTAAAGATTAATAAATGGCCGAAGTGACAATTATCAAGAATACAAGCAACCATAAATGTTGGCAAGGATACATACATTGCTGGTGGGAATGCAAATTGGTGTAACCACTATGGAAAGCAATGGAGATTCCTCAGAAAACTTGGAATGGAACCACCATTTGACCCAGTTATCCCACTCCTCAGTTTATATCCCAAACACTCAAAATCAGCATACTTCAGTGACACAGCTACATCAATGTTTATAGCAGCTCAATTCACAATAGCCAAGCTATTTAACCAAACTAGATGCCCTTCAACAGATGAATGGATAAAGAAAATGTGGTATATATATATATACACACAGGAATATTACTTGACCTTAAAGAAGAATGAAATTATGGCATTTGCAAGTAAATGGATGGAGCTGGAGAATATCATGCTAGGCAAAATAAACCAATCCCAAAGTACCAAAAGCCAAATGTTTTCACAATAAGTGGGTGGATAGTGAAGAACAGAGATACTTTGGATTAGTCAGAGAGGAGTGAAGGGAAGGGAGGGAATATGGGGGTATGAAAGATAGTAGAAGGAATTGGACATTATTACCAGATAGATGTACATATATGACCACACAACCAGTCTATCTCTATATTATTTACAACCAGAAGAATGAGAAGTTATACTCCATTTATGTATGATATGTCAAAATGCATTCTACTGTCATGTATAACTAATTAGAACAAATAAAAATATATAAAAAAATATATAGCTCAGATGATAGAGTGCTTGCCTTGTATGCACAAGGCCCTGGTTCAATCCCCAGCATCACAAAAACAAACAAACAAATAAGTAAATAGCCAGAGTGAATACTTAAAGTTCAATTAGGAAGCTCTCCTACAACAAATACTCTTAATCCTTGACCTGCAGCAGTACTCAAGATACATTTCTAGGCTGAAGTAACTAAAACAAGAACTATGACCTTATACACACAGACCTATAGTTTAAAAAGCAAAGCAAAAAAACCAAAAAACCCTTTCATTTTATTATGAAAGGAATTTCTTATATTTTAGTAAGATCTTTCCAATTTGCTTGTAAGATGGAAAGATGTTTCTTATTTGCTTTCATGTGACCAATACCCCTGTAAGTTACTTTGCCATATTGCAATTCTTATATAATTACATATATAAGTATGGAATTTCTATACATATAGTTCTTCCACACCCAACAAGAGATTATCAAGAACTCAAATCAAAATGATACCAATAAAGCAAACCCTAAAACTAACAAGTGGGAGACCCTGAGGGGCGGTGAGAAAAAGGATGAGGGAAAAAAAAAAAAACCAGGAAAGTGGATAAAGGGAAGGCAGAAACTAATGTTAATAAATGTTGATACGGAGCACCTGTTGTATAGATACCACATTTGGTAGTGGTTTCCCCTTCTGATGCTTTCAGTCTTGACCCAGCAAACAACTTTTCTGAATACAACAGTCTAACTATGGTTTTCTTAACTGTGTGATCTGGCTAATATCTACTTTTCCTGCACCATTTTTCCTCCTTAACTGCTATTTAGACAACAGGCTACTTTCTGCTCAGGGTATCCAGAATTCTCTCCTATTGTAGGAAAGACCTACTCTTTCTCATTTCTGAACTTTTTTTCACATTACTCTTTTTCATACTTTGGATTTTAACTCAAAGATCACCTCGGTTGGATACGACCAAATCACAATTTTTGCGTGTATGAGACTGTCAGTGAAACCCACTAATTTATACAATTGATATGCGGTTTTTGTGCCAGGGATTGAACCCAGAGGCACTTAACCACTGAGCCACACCCCCAGCCCTTTTTTTTTTTTGATTTAGCGAACGGTCTCGCTGAGTTGCTTAGGGCCTCGCAAACTTGCTGAGGCTGGCTTTGAACTCGGGATCCTCCAGCCTCAGCTTCCAGAGCCGCTTGGTTTCAGGCGGGCGCAGCGGCCTCATCCTTCATATCTTATCACAACCTGAAACTTTCCTGTTTGTCTGCCCCAACCAACTCCAAGTCACCGCATCCCCAGGACTTAGAACAGAGCTGGAGCCCCATTGCAGCTGTTTAATGAATGGTGGAGGTGGGTACTTATTTGCACATTGAGGATGAGGACCTTGAAGCTCAAAAAGTTCAGAGTACTTGCCCTAAGTCAGACAGCAACGGGGCTGAACAGGACCAGCCAGGGCTATATTCTAGTTCTAAGTAACAACCGCAGAAGTGGGAAGCTTAGCAAAGGTGGAGTGGCGACCACGACCCAATATCTCTCTTCATACCCAGGGATATAACACACATTTTCCTCCCGCCCTGACCGACATTAGGGCCTTCCCGCCCAGCCCCTGGCCGTGCAGGTCCTTACTAGGTAGGAATGAGAAGGCATTTGAGGAGAGTCACCCCGAGCGCCAAAGCAGAAAACCAATTGCCACTACCCGTTAGGGTTCCGAGCGCCGCCATTGCTGCAGCACCGCGCACTTTCAATCTATTTGAGCCACATCCGGCCTTCCGCGCATGCGGAGAAGGCCCTCCGCGGCGGTGCCCTTGCACTGCGCGCATGCGCATATCCGCTTAGCCGCCCAGAGGCCAGAACTCAAGCTTTTAAATTTCCCGCCCACTGCATTCCTCACAGTCCGGGCTCCCGGGGCAGGACGCCACAGCGCCTGCGCGAGCGCTGGCAGCGACAGGTTTGTTTTATTTGCCAATTTATACTTCTGACTCAAACAGTCCCTGGTCTCCTGTAGGTCTTGATTTTACTGGCGTTTGGCATAATAGGTGAGAAAAATCTTACCTTGTCATAGAGCTAAGTTCGGAGTGCTAGTGGAGGAGATGGTTGTTATCCGTTGGTTACAGTAGATATAAGTAGGGAGGCCCCGGAACCGGAATTTAAAATGCAGGTGTAGTGGCACCCCCTCCTCCACAGAAAATTTTAACTAAGCTTCTCCAAAATCTTGACCAAAATGGATTTTAGGACTAGAAGCAAAAGAGTCTCTACAAAAGAGTTCAATGTAGGTAAAATTCCTGTTTTCATGTTGCCTTATTTTACTTGGCCACTGGCCTGGAAGAAATAAGTGCTCCAGGTGCTGAACACCCCTTTACTAGTTTTTCAGAAACATTTATCCAGTGTAGTAATTTGTAGAAGTGTGTTTACAAATGCAAAATGTGATAATAAAAAGACAAATCTTTTAACAAAGCCTCTGGCCTTGAGCTGGAGCTTCACAAAGATATCTACATTTCTAGGATGAGAAATTGGGCTCAATGGTAACAGCTGGCAGGGGGAGGAAAGGAAGGGGAGAAGAAGCTCTCCCCTTCTCAGGTGTTGTCCTTGAAGGGTTAACTTGCCCAGAACAGTGAAAAGAAAAATCTGTTTTTATGTGAACTTCTGCAGACTGTGAACTTCTGAGCCCCTCCTCTTACAAGCTGGGTATAAAATTCTGAAACTAGGGCTGGGGTTGTAGCTCCAGTGGTAGAGCATTTGACTAGAACGTGTGAGGCACTGGGTTCGGTCTTCAGCACCACATAATAATAAATAAAGGTATTGTGTCCATCTAAAACTAAAAAAAAAAAAAAAATTCTGAAACTACCTGAACTCTGGGGATTAGTTGATTCCAGCGAAAGCTGTACCCTCTGAACTTGGCTGCAGCCAAATAAAACTGCTATTTTGGTGCCCTGCCTCATCTGTCCCTACAACAGAGGTAGAGAATAACATGAGCAGAGATAGAGGTAGAAACCAATCTATATTGCTAGGACTCCAAGCTAGGACATGGTGGAGCACCTAGCTGCGTGGAGCCTGATCTGGAAGCCTGATACCAAATATTAAGAGTCTAATATTTCCCGCACTTAATGTGATAACTAGGAATCTTGTTAAAATTCACATTTGAATCCAATAAACCTAACAAACTCCTAGATTGCATCAATGGTGCTGGTACTCGGCCACAAGCACTGAGGCAAAAAGCAATAGAATTAGTTCTTTTTTTTTTTTTTTTTAACCTCCATTTTGATACTAGGGATTGAACCCAGGGCACTTTACCACTGAGCTACATCCCAGCCCTTTTATTTTTATTGTGAGACAGTGTCTCACAAAGTTGCTGAGGCAGGCCTTGAACTTGGCAATTCTCCTGTCATGCCAGCATTACAGGCATGACCATGGGACCTGGCTGAAGTTAGTTTGTCTCTACTTTGTGCTGTCTGTGGACTAGGACAAACTTTAAAAACAAAAACAAAACAAAAACACCTCAGTTTCTTTTTTTGTAAAATAGGAGATAAAAATGGTGATTGTGAGGATTAAGAGAATGTATATAAATTGTGTGGGATGATACCAGGACAGAATAAGTGCTCAATAATGTGTCAGAGAAATTAAATACTCTTCTGAAAGATGCACAGCAAGTAGGTATTAACATGAATTTATATTCCCCGCATCCATCTGCCATCAACATGTGTATGATGCTCAAATTTATACCTCAAGCTCCACCCTCTTCTCTCACCTATATAGATCCTTATCTACCAACTGCCTACTGGTGTCTGCTATGTGTCCTGCCCCACCTTTTTCTTTTCAGTGCTGGGGATCAAACCCAGGACCTCCTGTAGGCTAGGCAAGCACTCTACTACTGAGCTATGCCCCCCAGGTCTCTTAGATGTTTTAAAGTATCTTGCATTAGTTTCTGCTATATTGCTGCTATAACAAATTACCACAAATTCAGTAGTTTAAACAACACAAATTGATTCTTAACAGTTCTGCAGACCAGAAATCTGAAAGTCCCACTAGGTTAAAGTCAAGGGGTTGATTCCTTTTATTTATTAACTCTGACATTATTTCCTGAGCTTTAGGAGTCCTATTGAGAAAGTCGTTGTCTGTGCCTATATATTGGAGTTTTGTCCCCGTAGTTTCTTCTAGGAGTTGTATAGTTTCTGATCTAATTCCTAGGTCTTTGATCCATTTTGAGTAGACTTTTGTGCAGGATGAGAGATAAGGTCTAATTTCATTCTTTTACATATGGATAACTAGTTTACCCAGCACTGTTTGTTAAAAAGGCTGTCTTTTCTCCAATGTATGTTTTTTGGCAACTTTGTCAAGGATCAGATGACTGAATCTATGTGTGATTTATCTCTGTGTCTTCTCTTCTGTACCATTGTGTATCCTTTTTTTAAAAAAAAAAAATTAAAATTTTTTTTAGTTGTTTATGGACCTTTATTTTATCTATTTATTTACTTATATGTGGTACTGAGAATTGAACCCAATGCCTCAAACATGCTAGGCAAGTGCTCTACCACTGAGCCACATTTCCAACCCCTTATGTCAGCCTTATAGGGTTGTCAAGGTAGAATATTTGAACAGATAAAACAATATACAATTTGGAGATGTTTTTCTTAAGCCACATGACCTGGCCACTTTCCTTTCTAAGAAGTTGATCCATTCTGCTCCAGTTCCTGGGCATTGCTGGTGACTGGAAAGCTCTCCTGACCACTAACAAGCTTTTCTCTGAGAGAAAACATGCTCAGATTTTGATTATCTCACAGACTGCAGCAGTTCTGTGGGTTCTGAGTGCCCAGAGACTTGTTTTTATTTTCAATTCTTATATTTTTTGGAACCTGAAATTATGATTATAATTGTTCCCATAAATGAAAGGTTGTTTTTTCTTTTAACCTCAGGGTGATTGTTGATAATGTCACTTAGAGAATGAAGTCAAAAAGAAACCGCTAAGTTCCAAGTTTAAAATTTTAAATAAACAATATTGCATTTAGATGTTGTAGTATTTATTTATTGCTACATAAAAATTTGCCCCCAATCTTAGAACCTAAAATAAAAAACACTATTATATCACAATTTCTGTGATCAGGAGCTCAAGAGTGGCTTAATTGGGTGGCTCTGGCTCAGGGTCTTTCCTGAGATTCCAGCCAGGATGACATCAGAGGCTGTAGCCAACTGAAGATGTGACTGGAGCTGAAGTATCCACTTCCAAGGCCAGCAAAAGGCCTCAGTTCCTATTCATCTGGGATTTTCCCTGGGTGCTTGGTTGTCCTTCGGGGACATAGCAATTGGCTGCTGCCAGATATAGATTCAAGAATGAGCAAGAGGGCAGAGGTTGTGGCTCACTGGCGGAGTGCTTGCCTCGCACATGTGAGGCACTGGGTTCGATCCTCAGCACCACATAACAAAAATATTGTACCCATGTATAAAAGAAAATAAACAAAAAGAATGAGAAAGAAGCAAGTTGCCATGTTTTTCATGATGTAGAGTCAGGTACACATCAACACTTTAGCATCATTTATTAGAAGCCACTTACTAAATCTAATCCACAGTCAGGGAAAGAGCAGTTAGACTCCACCACTTGAAGGGAGGAATAGCAAGGAATTTGTTGACATATTTAAAATCTACCATAGAAGACTTTTTTACATTCTTGGGATATTAGGAAAAAAATTGTACCTAGGTGAAAACAAAACTGTCTCTTGTAGTGGGAAGGCTCTCCGTTTATTATGTCTAGTTTGTTCTCCCTGTCAATAATTTTTTTCTCTTTCTCTGTTATAGCAGGCCCTCAAAATGTACACATTCTATGTTAAGCCTTGGGTATTCAAGGATGAATAACAGGAACTGCCTTATCTGAGGACTAATGCATGCAGGCACCATGCTGAACACTTCTATTGCTTTTATCTTCATAACTATCCTTTGAGGTAGGTATTGTGATTATCCCCATTTTTTAGATAAGAAAACCAAGGTTCAGAGAGGTTAAAAAACTTGCTCAAGGATGCTTAGTAAGTTAAAGAGGTAGGATTTGAATTCAGGACTGTCTACAATTACATTTTCCTATCACCCACATGGAATTTCAGGAGCTTAGAGTCTCCCAAAGCATATGACACAACAAATTGCTGATAGAATGTGAAGAGTCAGCAATTAGAGATAGGAATAAAGGGACGCAATGGAGAGAATAATCATATCCCCACTTTCTAGTGGCTACACATTTTCTACAGAGAAAAGTTGAAGCTGTCATTCAGACCTCTATGACACAGACCCTATTTGCTTCTCCAGCTTCATCTCACATTGCTTCCTCCCACTTAATTTATTCTAGCCACATGAAAGAGTTAGATAGTAGTTAGTGATGATCAGTGAAATGTGAACCAATAACACAGAAAGGTCACGGAGTTTCTTTGAATTGCCTTTAATGAACAATCAAGTAACTTTGTAGAACAACAGGTATACCAACTCTGAGAATAAATAGATGGACACAAAGAGAGCCAATTAAGGAATACATCAAGAAGGAAAGATCAATGGGACTAACTCCTCTACTGAGGTCATTGTAAAGTTAGGATTTGTGGCCATAAGTTTCTCAATGTATTTCAGAAGGAAATTTCTTTAGTAATTCAGGTGCACTAAAGATGAGGTCTGCCTAGTCATAAACCCTGGCACCTGCATTAATCTAGAAATTGACTTGTAAATGAAGCCCCCTGAATGGGGTGGTCACCATGATAGTTCTGGAGAGGACCAACTAAGGTAAAAAACTCTCCTGCCTGATGTGAAGGAGGAGTTAAACATTTAATTGGTAAAGACTGCATTAGGTGGAACCCAGTTCTCTTGAAAAACATCAAATGGTAATAAATTTGGAAATGACATTGTTCCTTTGTTTTTGCTCAGAAGTTACTCTCTATCTTTCTTTAAGAATTTAACCTTTATTTTTTATTTATTTGCTTTTTATGTGGTGCTGAGGATTGAATCCAATCCCTCACCCATGCTGGGCAAGTGCTCTACTACTGAGCTACAATCCCCGCCTTGACTCTCTCTCTCGATAGTGTTCTTTCACTCATAATAAAATTCTCTTGCTTGACTTTTTGTGTCTGACTTTAAATTTTTTATTGAGACACAAGAATAGATGTTTGGAGTTTCAGCTCCTTGCTCTCCTGTGATAGGACTTCTCTGAATATACCTTGTTATTTATGCATCTCTACCTTTGTATGTGCTGTTCCCTCCCCCAATGCCCATGACATGCTACCACAAATCCTTCATGACCCAGCCAAAAGGATCCATGGCAATTTCCCAAAACCCTTTCTGTAGGTTTTTTTCTTTCTTTCTTTTGGTATCAGGGATTGAATTTAGGGGTGCTTAACCACTGATCCATATTCACCTGTATTTATATTTATTTAGAGATAGGGTCTCATTAAGTTGCTTAGGGTCTCACTGTTAGACCAGGATGCAAGAAAAGACCACTGACTCCAATTAAAATCATATTAAAGCAAGCTTATTATTTCGACCGGCCGGGCTGCCTCTCCCTCCCAAAACAGCGGGAACATGACAGCACCCCAGCTTTCCTACAGCCCAGCTTTATAGCCCAGAAAGTTACACAAAGGGGGGTTACAGATAACAGAACTCTGACAAGCATCACACTAATGGTAGTTTACATTTTTTGCTGGCCCCAACATCAGAATTTATGAGGACCATTAGAGCCTCAGAGAGGGTCATTGTCTGGCCAGGGAAGGCCAATATTTATGAGGTGTCACTAAGTTTCAGAGAGGGCTACTATCTGGTTAGAGAGCCAGGCATGGGTGCGTTCAAGGCACGGGCAGGCATTCCAAGCAGGTTCAGAATTTGCAGTAATTTATAGTAAAGCCGAAATTATCTTTTCATGGTTTTGTGGCGAGATGCCCAATTTTAAGAAAAGACCAGGTTGGGTCTATCATCACTAAGTTGCTGAGGCTGGCTTTGAAACTCACAATTCTCCTGCCTTATCCTCCTGAGCTGCTGGGATTACAGGTGAGCACCATTGCACCCGGCTGTAGATTTCTTTTAATGCATTTGATATCGCTGGTTATCGGTTGACGAGTTCTGCTCCCTCACATGTTGAAGTTAAGCATGCCAAGTCAAGCATATAAAGCAGGGTTTATTTAAAAAGGGGTAACATTGACTTCTCCGGGGAGGGAGAAGGGCGCCATAGCTGGTATCCTGGTATTCCCAGAAGTGAGGTGTTCTGCCCTTTTTGTATGTCCTAGGATTTCTTTGTGACTAGACTCAGGAATGAATGCTTGTTGGAATGGCCAAAAGGTAGGAAACAGGTGGACTGAAGGGGGAAGGGTAGGATGGAGCTGCCCAAGACACAACCTTAACAACCTTATAGCTGAAGGTAGGGAGGGGCAATTTAGATCTAGGTAAAACTGACTTTACCCAGCCATTTCCTGGTTTTATGGCCTGTAGAAGCCAAAATCCTTGCTGATATTTCTATAGATTCTCAGACTTATGTTTTCACATGACATATTTCTCTAGATTTCCTACTCCCTCACTCATAGCCTGTGTTCTTACCTGTAATTCAGGGAGTACTTTCAATTCCAGGAAAAGTCTGCTCATACAGCATATTTGTAAGACTTTTCTGAACAGCTGGGGTCATAGCAAGTTCTTTAAATCTTTAGAGTCAGCCTGCCCCTCCTCCACCCTCTTTAGCTACCTGGCCACAGGGTGTCCCCTGTTACCAAGCAGCTCCAGTGCTGACCTGGGGAAAGGCTAAACCACTCCAGAAATATTCAAATTCAAATTGGTAGGAAAATATGTTTTATTCAAAGACAGATTTGAAGGAAGATAGAAGAAACTTACTGTTAAAAAAAATTCCAGGGCTTGGGGTTATGGCTCAGTGGTAGAGCACTTGCCTGGCATGTGTGAGGAACTGGGTTTGATCCTCAGCACCACATAAAAATAAATAAATAAAGATATTGTGTCCATATACAACTAAAAAAAATACTTTAAAAATTTTTCATTTTCAGGGGCTAGGGATGTGGCTCAAGCAGTAGCGCGCTCGCCTGGCATGCATGCGGCCCGGGTTCCATCCTCAGCACCAGATACAAACAAAGATGTTGTGTCCGCCGAAAACTGAAAAATAAATATTAAAAAATTCTCTCTCTCTCGCTCTCTCTCTTTAAAAAAAAACACACACACACACAAACAAACAAACACACACACACACACACAAAAACAAACAAACAAACAAACAAAACAAACCTCTTCTACAGCTGTTTCTACATGGAATAGTTTCAGGGCACTTTCCATGTGTGGCCTTTCCTTCTGTCCAAGCCCTTATCAAGGTGGTATTCTAAATAAATGCAACTCCTTTCCAAAGAGGAATTCTAGAGCTGGCAGTTGTTTGGATGTTAATTTTTTCCATCTTCTTATCTAACTCTTTGTTTATGAAGGTGCCTTAGTTTAGGCTTCTATAAAAAAAAAAATACCATAAACCAGACACAGTGGCACATGCCTATCATCCCAGCTACTCAGGAAGCAGAGGCAGGAGGATCACAAGTTTGAGGCCAGCATGGACAATCTAGAGAGACCCTGCCTTTTTTTTTTAATTTTGATTTTTTAAAATTTATTCTAATTAGTTATACATGATAGCAGAGGAGACCCTGTCTTTAAAAGGGGCTGGGGATATAGATTAGTGGAGAGTGTGCTTATATAGCATGTTCAAGTCCTTTGGTTTGACCCCTAGTATGGGGTGAGAGGGGAGATGTGGGAGGCCACCTGTAAATTATTTGAGCTTATTTGAGCCTCTTCACTCTGCCTGAGCCAGTAAGATTTAGGTTTGGCGTTGAAAACTATTTTGTGGCTCCTCCGCTCAATAGATTGCGCAATGCACGTGACCTCTGCTTTTTCCGGGCTAGGGACACTGCTCTTGTAGCTCCAAAGTTGGGCTTAATGCATTGGAAACTGGACAGCCCACCTCCTACCTTAATTGGCTAAGTATATTCTATGGAAAACCTTTGATGTCCCCCCCCCCCCCAATAAATAAAGCAAGCACTGGCTCTATCTCCTTATTTCCAGTGTGGAAGCTTGATCCCTAAGATGGGATAGCCATCCTGCCCCCCACCTTTCTAAAATTCCTGTGTCCTGTGGTTTCTTCCCTGTTTTCTCTTTCTCAGTTTTATTTCACAGCCAACTGGTTACACGCGAGGAGCTCCAACTTTCATTGCCTGTGTGGGACATGGCTGTGAGGGTGGTGAGGGGGACAACCATAGACTAGTGACTTACAAACAACAGACATTTATTTCTCACAGTTCTAAGGCTCTTAAGTCAGGTAGAGGGTTCTGGCCTAGGCCCTCTCCAAGCTGCAGACTGCCAGTGTTTCACTGTGTCCTCACCTGGTAGAGAGTAAGACAGCTCTCTGGGATCCATTTGTGAGGACTGTACTCTCAGGACTTAATTACTTCCCAAAGACCCCTCCTCCTGATGTTATGGCACTAAAGGTTAGGATTTCAACATACGAATTTTGGGATAGGAGGACACAAATAGTTCAAAACAGAGTATTTGACCCACAGTTCTAAATCAGGTCTTATCTGATTCATTTTGGTTGCTCCAGTTCCCTGCACAGAGTTTGGGATATTTGTAACATTTGTTGAATAAGTAGATTGATGGGAATGACTTACTGAAAAAAAGAAAAAAAAAAACTATTAAAAGAGTGGAACTGGGGCAGTGAGGTGGGGTTGGAGTATCTCAGTGGTAGAGCACCTGGCATGTTTGAGGCCTTGGATTCAATTCCCCAAAAAAAGTGTTTGATATTAATTACCTGATAGTTTTAAGAGATCTTAAGTTATGTGAAACAAAGAGGCTAAGGGCCTTAATGTTAGTTCCAGTTCTGTTTCTGACTTGCTGTACAACCAGGGCATGTCACTTTTCCTTTCTTTCTGTACCTTGGTAGAAAAATGAGAAGGTGGTTTTTGTTATTCCTCTTTGTTCTACCAGCCACACCTCATTCTAATCCCCACCTGCAATCTGATGCTTCACAGTGGGGACCTGGTTGGCCTGCTGGGTGGCTTATTATTAAAACCCACCTGCTTGGTTAAGATGTGTTTTCAAAGCAGAGTCGACCTAGAATTATTCTAGCTCATGGTTCTTATTCAGGACACCTGTGCATTTCTCACTCTCCTTCAGTGCTTATGTAAAGCTGGATGTTGAATGAACTCCTTTTTGTCTCCTTTGCTTTATGTATTAAATGCCAGGGATAGAGCTCTTACCTAGCATATGAGAGGCCTTGGGTTGATTCCCAGCACTAGGGGGGAAAAGTTCCCATCAGTTTTTTCTTGTGTCCAGCCTCCATACATGAATGTGTGTATGTAGCCAGCATGGTGACACATACCTGTAATTCCAGTGACTTGCGGTGGCTGAGACAGAAGGGTTGCAAGTTCAAGGTCAGCCTCAGCAATTTAGTGAAAGAGACTATTACAGAGCTGAGGCCTTCTAGGAAACTGAGGCAACACAAATACTCCCCTTTCAAATCCTGATTCTTTGGGCCAAGTCAGAAAGATTTCAGACATGCCACTTAGAGTAACAGGAATGAGTTTATTGAAAGGATAGGAAAAGAGAAAGGGGACACTCTCAAGGGAGAAAGTGGGTCCTCTCAGAGAGAAGAGGGATAATGTGTCTTTCCTGCATTCTAGTTTGATTGGGGATCCCAGAAAGTTTCCAGAGAATCTGATCCAGGTCCACCTTTTGACTTTTGGCTGGCAGCAAGATGACATCAGATTGTCAAGTCCCCACTGCCATGGCAACTCTAGGTCACCTTGGCCCATGCTGTCCTGTTCTAATTGGACTCTTAACCATACATTCTTATAGCTTTTAAGATTAGGAGGAACTGTCCTTATCTCCCAGATTTTCAGCATCTAGTCACAAAAGTCTCCTGGGTTCTTCCCATCAACATTATCTTGGGTCTGTTTTCTCCTGCGCTTAACAGGTTTGCTGAGAAATATGACATATCCTGTCCACAGAGGCCACGCAGGGCTCTAGGTAAATTGTTTCTATAGAACTCGTTATCTGTCTGTTCCCTAATAAGACTATCTTAAAATTTAAAAAATAAAAAAATAAAAAGAACTGGTGATATGGCTCAGTGGTAAAGTGCTCTTGGGTTCAATCCCAGTACCAGGGAAAAAAAGAATGTGTGTGTGTGTGTGTGTGTGTGTGTGTGTGTGAGAGAGAGAGAGAGAGAGTGTGTGTGCGCGCGTCTGTGCACATGCAAGTGCACACAACCACTTTCTTTATTTTATTTTTATTTTTATGTGGTGCTGAGGATGGAACCCCGTGCCTCACATGTGCTAGGCAGGTACTTTGCCACTGAGCTACAGGCCCAGCTTTCCACATATCCACTTTTTTTTTATTTTTAAGAAGTTTTTTTCTTTTTAAAATTAATTTAAAAAAAAATAAATTACAGTGGAATGCATTACAAACTTATTACACATATACAGCACAATTTTTCATATCTCTGGTTGTATATAAAGTATATTGACACTAATTCGTGTCTTCATACTTTAGATAATGATGTCTATAACATTACTAGAAAAAAGATTTTTGGCAAAAAATCAGTGATGTGCAAAACGTGAATAAACTAGAAATATTTTCAAAGTACAAACTAATCTTACATAAATGGGATGTTAAGAGCTTCTCATCTTTGCTCTTGTGATGGTGCCAGGCTTGATTTCAAAAGTATTCTATATCCTGCTATAGAGGCATGGAATTCTGGTTTCCTTATGCTCATCATAGCTTTTAAGTCCTACCTAAAACATTTATTGTAGCTCTTGCTTCAATGACCTTTTCTTGTAACTTGCACTGAAAATACCTATAAGGACAGAGAACTGAAATGACATTATCATAACTAACGGTAAATACATTAAAATGTGTGTGTACAGAATTCTTCCTGAGATTTTCTCTTATACCTAGCAGTGCACATATCCACTTTCTTAACCAGGTTTTTGTTTGTTTGTTTTATTTTTTTCTCTCTGGAATTTCCTGAAGAAGATTTTGTTTGTTTGTTTTGGTGTGTGTGGTATTGATGTTCAAGCCCTGGGAGTTGTACATGCTAAATGCTAAGCATGCCTTTTACCACTGAGCTATATCCCCAGAACCCTGAAAATATGTGTTTTCTGAAGGAATTAGGAACTAAAGGAAATGGAGACTTAAATAACCCTCAGGGAGGGCTGGGGATATGGCTCAAGTGGTAGTGCATACTGGGTTCGTTTCTCAGCACCGCGTAAAAAATGAAATAAAGATATTGTGTCCACCTAAAAAAAAATAAATACTTAAAAAAAAAAAACCCTGGGGGAAGAACGGAGCTCAGGAATCTGACCTGTTGCAATCTCCATCATCTGCCCAAATCCCCCTGCCTGCCAAAAGCAAGCTGCCTAAAGTAAGTGATCAACTCCTCCCATGATCTGGCCCTTGTTGTAGTGTAATGCCAGATTCGTGGGACCCCAGTAGACCTCCAGGAGCCAAATCCAATGCAGTCACACAAGAGTCTTTATTGCAAGCTCGAGCCTGGACTCACAACCGTTCCCGCCTCATCGGTCCCAGGGAGTGGAGTCCCGGTCCTTTGTTCAGTGAGATTTTATAGGTTTTGGGGGGTATACTCGATGCATCACAACATCACACAGCAAATCATTCCATACTGCGGGAAAATCAAACAACAGCTCTTAACATTGATTAGCACATTCAATGGCAGGAATAAGTTGGATAGGGGTGATTGTTTAGTACAAGAGGGGAATTCGTTTGAACTGATTGGTTTAGGCCACTAGGGGTGTACGTGCTAAACTACATGGTTTCCCAACATGTTATTGGGGGTCATCTGGCATTCCAGGTATTTTCCCTGTCTCATGCTGATTGGAGGTTACTAGGGGGGTTGTTATGGGTCCTCACCTAGCCTAACTGAGTCAGGGACACCTGGTGCTGTAGACCTCTCCTGTTATTTACAGACAAACAACTCAGCAGGGTGGGTATGTGCTTAGGAGTGCTCTGTGGGTTTTTCCAAGGACAAGGGTCACGCCCCCT